GCACAGAGGAGGAGGTGAGGATGGCCCTGGAGGGGGCTGGGCACAGAGGAGGAGGTGAGGATGGCCCTGGAGGGAGTGGGGTTTCTTCCTGTCATACATGGGCTGCTGTAAGTGGGAGCTCACTCCAGGGCACCTGGCAACAGCAAGTTCTTCACTTCCATCAAGATCATTAGGTTGGGGTCTCTGATGGCTTCAAACTGCCGACTTTTTGGTTAGTAGGCAGGTGGTTACTCTGTACCACCAGGGATCTTTCTCCCATTACAGAACATATTCAATTTGGACTTGAGAAATAATTTTGTAAGCCGTCAGTTGGATTAGATGCCATGTACCATCACAGAAATTCATTTAAGATAGTTACCTGTTTTTCCTGTGCCCTCTCTTTGTGGCAGCTTCTCATTTACAGAACCTAAACAAAGAAAGTAAGAGGATAAATTACATTTCATAATTGGCTGCTCCTCAGTAATTAAGGCAAACACATACACTCCAACCCATTTGGATTAATTAAGTGCTTCGCACTTCCCAGCAAGGCTACACACGTTGTCTAGTCAAGGTAAGAGTGCCATTGACTGAAACAAGTCCTAGACTAGAACGCAGGTTAGTTCCACACGTTAGTTCCCAGTCCCCCTAGTAACTCTCTGAGGATCCGTGATGAGACCTTTCAGCCTAGTATATGACAGTGTCATCATGTGAAAAGTGCCACAAAACCCTCTAAACAGGCCTCACAATGCTGAGCTAGTGCAGACAGTTAGACGGAAATGTTTTTAGAAGAACCAGTGGCGGGTAGAATGTGTCTGAGGGTCCCCGGGGAGGAGGGTGGGAGCCGAGTGGGCAGGATGGGCAGGGGGAAGGGGGTAATCATAGGGTCACGGAGGGTAAGAAAATGGGAAAGATCCAGTGTGAAAAACAATGTATATGAACTTTGAAAGTAAACCAGTAGAGAAAAAAAAATTCTTTAAAAATAAAAAATAAAAAGGAACTAGTTATGGAACTAAAGCCATTAAAAAGGGCTGATTTAAGCTTGATTCTAATTTATGGAAAATAAAGTAGAAGAACTATTTATTTGTAGAGAACTTCCAAACATGGAGACTGATAAGGAAAATGGTGGCATATTCTTTTTAATCTTTGTATTATACTAAACGATGTCTGTGTAGAGACTAAGGTATGCCTGATCCAAGCCATGGTCTTTACAATTACCATCAGAGAGCTGGACGATGACTAAGGAGGACAGAAGAAGAAGCTATGCCTTTGAACTGTGCTTCTGGAGAAGAATCTTGAATATACCCTAGACTGCTAAAAGAACAACAGGTCTGTCCTGGAGAAGGTGAAACCAAGCTGCTCCTTGGAGGCAAGGATTTTGAATCTCCATCTCACATACTTTGGACATATTGCCAGGAAAGACCAGCCTTTGGAGAAGCACATGATGCTTGGAAGGGTGGAGGGACAGCTCAAGAAAGGAAGACCTCCTGATGAGATGCATTGACATGGTAACTGGGGCAATGTGGGGAAGTGTGTTGGAGACAATGAAATTGGCTCAGGATTGGGCACAGTTCAGAGTTATTGTACATAGGGTCACTATGAGTCACAGGTGACTCGACAGCACGTAATAACAACAAATGATTTCTGTTAAAATATGAAGTATTGTTCTTTATCCAATGGCTCAAAATTGCTATAAGTACTGATTATTGTTGTTGTTGTTGTTGTTGTTATGTGCCGTCTAGTCTCCTCCGACTCATAGCAACCCTATGTACAACAGCCCTAAACTCTGCTGTCCTGTGCCAATCGCACTGTCTCTAATATACCCATCCTGATTACCCCAGTCACTGAATCAAACCACCTCATAGAGGGCACTGATTACTTTCCTTAGGGTTATTGCATCTACTTAAAGGAAGAAAAAAAAATAATCTGCTCACATCTGCAGATACTGTAGATCCAAAAGGGGACAAAATTTTGTGAACGTCTTAACCAAAACCCAACAACCCGAGAGAAGGAGCCATTGGCTATCTGACCTCAAGACAGCGTGTTAGCGGACACACAGGTGATCTAACGCTCTATACTTGGAAATATGACCAAAAACTCAAAAGCTGGTAAGCAACCATCTCAGGTGCCAGTCGCGCCTCCCGTGGCTGAAGCAAAGTGAAAATAAGCAAACGTGCACGAGAACCTTTATCCACAGCAACAATGGACTTCATGGTCAACTCCCACAACCACGTGACCAGGAAAACTAGACGTTGCCCAGCTTCCTGCTCTGAGGGGGTCACAATAGAAGGTTCTGGAGAGAGTGGGAGATAAACTCCCAACCACACAATGCCAGAGGCTGGAAGAACCCCAAGGCTGTGGCTACTGGACTTTCTCTTGATCCTGGAACTGAGCTCACCCTTGTGGTGCAGCTGATGGGCAAACCTGAACAGATCTAGAAGGTGAACCATACCACGAAGGAGAAGCTCAGCCCATACCACATCCAACCTCACAGGATCATGAAGGAAGCCTCTGCCCAGGGATAAAACTCAGAAGGCGTGACGGAAGAGGATGGAGGGACTGACAGCTACAAGCAGCACAGAGACAGTGGGAAGAGAGGTGATGTAAGGTGAAGACTGGAGCCAGTGACAAAGGAAAACATGCAAGAATGGCTGAATTGACACTGCTCTGCTCTGTAAACCTTCAAATCATCACTAAAATTGAAGAACGATTTCTTCACTTCTCCCTAAAGATTTGTGTTTATGTCCTGGGATGAGCATGCACTAGCTTATCAGATGTTGCCACACGCTCTTCGTGGAAAATGGCTCATTGTTTATGACCGAAAATGATTTCAAAGACCTTCGTTCGTTTCATCCTTCTCTAGTGCTGGTTGAAGTGTGCTAGACAGGACAGTATGTGGGACTCAAAAGTGCTCTCTGGCACTGACACCTCTGGAGTCCTTTCCTTCACTTGCTTGTTTATTTCTAATGTTTCTGTGACAGTGAGGCATTATTTGATAACCAGTCCCTGGCAGTATTTGTTTGGTTAGGTTTTCAAAATCTTAAAAATATCTTAGGCTCTGTAACTTACTCACTTTTGACACTGAGTTGGAACTGACCCATTGCTGACCCTCCAGCAGGTTTGCAAGGCTGTAGATCACATGGAAGGACATTGGCCTTCTTGTAGAACAGCTGGTGAATCCAACAGCTGTGGCCTTTGAATTAGCAGTGCAGCTCCTCATGGCCATGCCCCTCAAGCAAATGACATAAAGGCTTGTTGACCATGAACAGAGATCTGAGCACTTCTCCAAAGTCACTTCTTTATCTTGGATAACTTGACTTAGCCAGTGAAAACGTGCCAACATTTTAGAAAACCATTTATTGTTGTTGTTATGTGCCGTCGAGTCACTCGTGACATAGTGAGCCTATGTACAATAACTCTACAAAAGCTCTAAACCCTGCTTCTGTCCTGTGCCAATCTCATTGTCTCTGACACACCTACATCCATTACCCCAGTCACCAAATCAGTCCATCTCATAGAGGGTCTTCCTCTCCTGTGTCGTCCCTCCACCATCCCAAACATGATGTCCCTCTCCCAAACATGATGTCCCTCTCCAAGACTGGTCCCCCCTCATAACATATTCAAAGTATGTCAGGCAAAGCTTCGGAATCCTTGTCTGCAAGGAGCAGCCTTATCTCACCTTCTCTGGAAAGCCATTCTAATATTTGAGCACAGCCTAAGTATGTTTTAAGGACCACTCATCCATGTACGAGCTCTGGTGGCCTAGTGGCAAGAAGCCACACTGCCATCCCAAAGGCACAGGGTCGAGTCTACCAGCAACTCAGCAGGAGAAGGATGGGCAGTTTCCTCCCGTGCAATTAACTGCCTCTGAAAACCTGCCAGAGGGTCAGCTATGGGTCGGTTCCACAGCAACAGTACTCAACGACTTCAATGTGTAAAGGCAGGCGGATGTGAGTTACTGAACAGTAGGGTGAAATCAGCCGCTTCTAGGTGATGATCTGCTGCACTACTAAGTGACCGGGCAGCCATGAAATGCCAATGCAATGTCTTTATGCTCTAAGGTTTCCTGTTGCACGACTTCACCGTGTCCTGACATGCTGTCTGGAAGCTATGTGTGGCGTGGATCAGAGGAAGTTACGCTGCCCACACAAAGGTGGCACCTCTCGGGAGGCTCCAATCTTCCCGTGGCTCCAAGGGAGAAAGATGGGCAATGTCCTCCCATGTAACTTAGAGCTGTCAAAATCCTGTGACATCAGCTATCAGGCGATTCTGACTCAATGACAATGCACATGTTGGTAGCAATGTCATAGACTGGGCTCTGCGCTTAGAAAAGAAATATTACAAACTTCACCTAGATAGCAATTGATTTATGAAGACGCACTGGGGGCCGAGTGTCAAGGAGCCCAAACACAGGCGGACTGACTCCACCAGCTGTTCCGGGAGAGGAAGATGGAGCCTCTCCTCCGCGTGACTTACAGTCTCTGGAAACGCACTGGAGGGTCAGCTCCGCGTTGGTCCCGACTCAAAGGCTCACAGCAGTTGATTTCTAATTTCTTTACTAGTATGACAGTTTAAGCTAGTAAATGTGAAAAGTTTCTCAAAAGCTTTTCAAGAGATTCCTTAAATGTGTGGAGTCTCCAGAAAGAAGAAAATATCGAGGTACATTTATTTCACTGAAAATAGCAGCTCCAACTTTATTACCATTGTTTTAGACATATAATGGGTTGCCTTTTCCTGTGTTACCATATTTTGAGATTCAACCTGCCCCAAACAGTCAAATGGGCAACAATCCAAATCATTGCCGCTGCTATGTGTCACTGAGCCCTCCATCCACTGAGCCAACCACAGCTCACGGTGCCCTGTCCTGTGCCCTCTCTTCATCTCCAGAGGCCGGCGCCCACTGGTGCAGCCACTGTGTCGATCCTTCTCGACGAGAGGCTTCCTCTTCTTCACTCTACTCTTCTCTGCATGATGTCCTTTTCTAAGGACTGGTACCTTCAGACAACATGCCCAAGTGTACAAGATAAACTCCATCGTTCTTGCCTCTACGTGGTACACTGATTGCACTTCTTACAAGATAGACTTGTTTGTACTTTAACAGTCCATGATATCGTCAACGCGCTTTGCCAACATCATAATTCAAAGGCACAATTTTCACTGAGTCTTTCTCATTTTTTGTCCAACTTTCACTTGCGTCCAGTGCAACGGCAAGCAGCGTGGCTTGGCTCTGGCGCAGTTCACTTTTCAAACTGACGTCCTTGCTCGTTAGTATTTTTAAGGGCATTCTTCACAAATTGCCCAAAGCAATTTTCATTTTATAGGGACCTAAATATTTCATTTCTCCCTCAAAAATACAGGCCATATTCTGTACTTGATATAATGACGGCAACAGTGCAAAAGGATTTTCCAATATTGACCCTCTTTGATCGA